CAGGACAGGACAGGACAGGTGAGCCCCCAGGACGGGAGACCAGGCCTGCCCCGCCTCCATCACCGAGCGGCACGGCACCACCTTGGCCAACGTGAAAACCTAGACTCCAGGGACTGTCCTCGCTAGAAACAGCTCCCTAGAAACAGCCCCCTCGGTAGGACCAGAAACACCTGCCACCCCCCCGGCTCACCTCACATGTTCCCTGCACCCCCTCCCCATCTGCCCTCCCACTGCCGTCACCTCTGCCCACTGCCACCAGACCACTCCTGCCCACGCGAATCCCATCCTGTCCTTCGAGCTTGAACCCCTCAGGACCCAGGACGGCCCAGGACAGGCGCCAAACTCCAGGGCCCGGCAGACAAGGCTCCTATGAGCTGGTCCCCGCCTCCCGACCAGACACAGCATCCCCCCAACTGCTTATGTGCCCCCAACCGGAGACCTCCGGCTCCTCACACTTTGCCTTTCCATGGGCTGCTCCCTCTACTTTCCCATCAGGAAAATCCCCCTCCAGTTCTTTGAGTCCCATTCAGATGTCACTTGCTGTCACCCGTTCTCCAGCCTGTAGGGTGAGCTCCCAGCAGTGTATTCCCACTGCTGCACCTGCCCCCCGGCAGCCCCGGCAGGTCGAATGGGCCGATGTGAGCCTGATGTGAGTGGCTTGAGGGCAGCCCTGCATTTTACTCATGTTCACACCCCACCAGCCCTCAGCAAAGGCTTAGGGGCAGACGGATGTGCCCGAGGGCTTCAAGTTCCTGCCGCTTTTCAGATCCGACAGCTGGGTTTTTTCAAGACACAGCCCTCACGCTACTCCCATCAACACTCGGGGTCTGGGGTGCTCATTAAACATGCAGGTTCTCAGGGCCCCTCCTCACCCCCTCACCTCAAGGCAAAACCCCCGCTTCCTTCGCAGCCCCGCCCAAGCCCTCCCAGAAGCCCCCCTGTGGCATCTCATGGGGCCTCCGCCCCCCAGGAGGATGCAGACTTCCTGCCAGGTGTGGAACCCTGGACAAGGACTGTGCCTTCGCTCTGGGCCCTACAACACTCAGCAAACAGGCTGAACGTGGCCAGATGGGACAGCCAGACACTCCAGCCCCTGACCTGCGGGTTAGGGGTGCTTCCGAGTTGTATTTCCTGGGGGTCATCTGAAACGACAGAGAAAAGCACTGGTGAGGGCGGGGGTCCCAGGGGGTCTGTGGCCCCCTCAAAGGAGGGGCTCAGCTCTCAGACTACTTCCTCCTTGGACCTCCCACCCCTCTACTGCTGAACCCCCAATGGAATGTCTGTTAAAGGCCCCCCTGTGTCTGGGAGGTGCCTGCCCCATTCACCAGTCTGAGTCGGAAGCTGTTCCTTAGACCCCCCCAGCTGTTCTTGGGGAACCCGCCACCACCTGCTTTCCTGCCTGTCCCCACTGCCTAGGAGTTCTGTGGGTAGGGACGGGCTCTGATCACGTCAGGCCTCCAGCCTCCTCCCCACGGCCTGGCACACAGCGCCGTCCCGTCCGTCACAAATGAGGGACTGGCCCCGTGAACAAAGGACTAGGAGTAAACGCTGGAGCGGGGAGGTGAGCGTCCCCAGGCCAGACACCTTGCGCCACTGGGCTGAGCGGAGCAGAGCACTGGGAGGCCTGGTGCTCTCTGCCCGCCCCTCTGGGGTGAGGGCAGGGGCCGGTGATGGTGCAGTGCCCCCGCCGGCATGCCCGCCACGTGCGCCCTCCTGCAGTTCTGGCTTTCCCCACCAGGTGGGGCTGCTCGTGCGTGTGCACACCTGCCTCCCAGGTCGCTAACCCACCCGCCTCTGCTCTTGGCCACCACGGGGACCCAAAGCCCCCTCTATGCACACGGTTCCCCCGGTGTCTGAGCCGGGTCCCTGTGCGTGTCCTCCGGTGTCCTGGACTCACCCGAAAGGAGATGGTCCTGGGGCTGGACCGCTGCAGGGAGCTGCTGTAGGTGACCGGCGTGGGCGAGAACACGTCCTCCTCTTCCTCCTTGATGGGAATTTTCACCTGGATGGATGGAGGCACGTCACACAGGTGGAGCGCATAGCCCTGAGCCCACGCTGCCACGAGGACCCCAGGTGGCCCGGCCCGTCTCAGGACGAGGTGGGGAGGAAGGCAGCCCTGTGCTGTCCTCTGCCTCTGCTGTGGGGAGGGGACAAGTCCCGGGGTGCCAGACCACCAGGCAGAGCTCTCCAGGGGGCCTTCTGGAAGGACCTGAAGCGTCCCCAGTCTGCTGGGGCCCTGGGGTCCAGAGCCTGGGCGACGATACGCTCCCCATCACACAGCTGCCCCTGCCCTGCCTCAGTGTCCCCTATTCTGACCAGGGCTGTTAGCAGGCAGGGAGAGAAAGCCAAAGTCAGCCTGAAGGTGGGAGGACAGGAGCCGGACAGGGGGCCAGAGGACAGCTGGGGGGGGAGCATTGCCAACCTGGAGTGTGATGGGCGGGAGGCGGGACGCCACGGTGGGAGGGGCGGGCGCCCCCGGCTCTGCCGAGGGCAGGGGGCTCTTCTCAGAAGGGGCCCTTGCTCTTGGCTCCGGCTCCTTGGTGGCGGACTGGCTCTCCCCGGCCGCTGGTGGCGCCTGGGGCTGCTCTGAGGGTGCCGCCCTCTTTGGGGCCAGCTTTGTCTCTGACACCGGTGACTTCTCAAAGATGGACGCTTTCTCAGACACCAGTCTCTTCTGTGACCCTGACGTCGTCCGTGGGGCTGGCGGCTTCTCCGAGATGCTAATTTTTTCTAGAACTGGCTTCTTCTCTGAGGCTGCCGTCTTCTCCGGCAGCGACTTCCTCTTGGAGACAGAGGTTTCCTCTGCGCTCAGCCTCTTTTCCGGGGCCGGCGGCTTCTCTGGCATGGGGGACTTCTCCGAGACCCCCTTCTGCCCGCCTGCTGGCTCTCTGCCCGCCAAACTCTCCTCCTCCTTGGCCCAGGGACCCCGCTGCTCCCGGCTCAGTCTGCGGCGAGGCGGCACGTCCACCTCCTTCTTGGGCGCGACGGGCTGCTGCTTGGCCTGCATGGGGTCCGAACGGTCCCTCCCTTCCTCTGCCCCCAGCCGCTCCCGGATGGGGGCCTGGGCAACCTCCACCGCCTGCCGCCTCTGCCTGCGCTCCTGCCGCGTCCTGAGAATGGCCTGGACGTCCTCGCCATCATCTTTGGGGGCTGGGGGTCGTGGCTTGGGCACGTCGGCTTCTTCTACGTTCGGCAGCCTGAGCCGGGAGAGGAGAAACGGGATGGAAGATAGAATCAGAGGCTACCAGAGCGGGGAGAGGCCCTGGGGCGTCGGAGCCAATGGGCAGGCCACCAGGGCCAGCGGGGAGCGGGGAGAGGCAGAGCCCTGCCCCGCCGCCACCATCACTTCAGTAAGGGTCACTTCTGTCTGCTTCACATACTGGGCGAAGCACACCACGCTTTCAAAACAGTTTATAAGCCCCCTGTAAGGTCCAAGCACCCCGCGTTTAAACCCAGTCAACACACGCGAGTGAAACACAGCTTTCCGTGAGTCAGGCCCTGTGCCAGCATCAAAAGGAATCAATGCAGTCCCCGCCCTCAGAGCCGAGATCAAGCCCAGAGATACTCAGGGACTTGTCATAGGTCACACAGCCGATTCGTGCCGGGGCAGGACGAGAACCTGGAACCTCTGAGCGTCCCTACCGCTGGCCGCCACGCGCTGCAGCCACAGGCACCCGGCGCTCCTTCTCTGGGGACCCAGGGGTGAGGACGGCATGAGAGAATGGCCCAGCCCACAGCCTCCCGCAGGAGGGGCGCTTAGCGTCCTGGGCAGCTGCTCTCCATGCGACGTGGGACATGTCAATTCACTGGGCCTTTGTCTTCAGGTCTGCAAACCAGGCTCATTAGGAGGTGAGATGAGACTCACCCATGAGACGGCCCAGCACAGGGCTGGCACCCAGGGGACGTCCGTCAACCCCGGGCCCTTCTGTTCCCTTCCCTCAGACCCCAAATTCGGGGTCTGACTAGCCCCCAGAAGTGCACTGTGGAGGGTGAGGGCTAGAGGGGGCAGCCCGGTTTCACGGGGAGAGTGGAGCCGCAGAGCCCGACAGAGGCCCTGCCCCTCAGGAGTTCTCTCAGCACGTCCCCTGCGAACGCCTGGACCCCGTGGCTCCACGTGTAAGTGGGTCCGTCGCGCCTCTCTCGGGGTACTGTGAGTTATGTCCATCCGACGCCCAGCCAAGTGCTGACTGCCGGACGGAATGGACGGAGCAGAGCGGTCCCTGACCTGAGGCGGGTGGACCCGGGCAGGGTCAAGGAGGGGCTGGGGACGGCGGGGACGCTGACGCCCCTGCTCATGCCCTCGGCCTCCTCCCCCGGGCAGGCCGAGGGCTGCACTTCGTCCGTCACCCGGGCCAGGACCTGACGCCTCCCCCCGCCCTGACCGCGCACCTCTCTGCAGCCGGCCGGCCTCCGTTCTGGGCGAGTCTGGGAGCCTCGTCGTCCGCGCCGGAGCTGAGGTTCCGCTGTCTCCGCCGGCGCTCGCGCTCCTGCTCCTCCTCGTCTTCCAGGGTCCACTGCTTAGCCAGGCTGGGGGACAGAGAGGCCATCAGTGCCTGGCCAGCCGCCTGCGGGGCTGCGGGACACGCGTGGCCTCTAGGTGGCGCCCTCTGCGGGCAGCTGTGGGCACTGTCTGTGCAGAACACACTGCGTTGAAGAGAATACGAAAGACATAATAATTGTGTATGTTGATTGCATATTGGGATAATATTTTGGATACACTGGAGTAAGTCAGATATATTATCAAGTTTGCCTGTTTCTTTTTACTTTCTTAACGTGTCTACCAGAAAATTTTACGTATGGCTCACACTGTTATGTCTATTCAGTGGTTGTGACATTTCTGCTGAAGCTGCAGGATTTGGGTTCGACCGGAGTTTCTGGGCCATGGCACCGCTGGCATTGTGGCCGGAGAGCTCACTCTGTGGGCAGGCCTGCCCTGGACTGCGGGCCGCTGAATAGCACCTGGCCTCCACCCACTGGCTGCCAAGGGTGCCACCCCCAGGTGTGACAACCAAAACTGTTTCCAGACATTGTCGGACATCCCCTGGGGGGCACAACCATCCCCGATGAGACCCACTGGGCCGGCCTTGACTCTGGACTCCACAGTGGGAACGTGGCGCCTCCCTCTCCGGGGTGACGGGGGAGGCGGGCGGGCGCACAGTCCTGCCAGCAGGAGACAGATGAACGTGACATGCTCCCCATTCCTCCTGCAGGGGTTCCCCAGGCAGCCAAGCCTCCATTTAAGGAGCAGATGCCTTTCTGAAAAAAATCATGCAAACCCACACTTCTATACCGAGTCACATATGAAATGCATCTCAAAAGACTCCTGCAGAAAAGGGCCCTCCAGCAGCCATGAGGAAGGCCGCTAGCCTGCCCGCCCTGGGAGGGTCGCTTCCTGTCCTCGCTCTCACGTTCCTTCCTAAAATGAGGAAGGCAGCCACACGATGGCGCCAACCTTTTTCTCCAGGTCCAGCATCACATTGGTTGCCCCGACATCCCCTAAACAAGTATTTTGTGAGCACCCACGACATGCCAGGCCTGGCTGTAGGGACGGGACGCACAGGGCCCTCCTTTCCTGGAGGGCATGTCCCGAGTGGGGGTGTTGGGCAGAGCCAGGAAGTGACCCGAGGACAATGGAACAAGGTAGGAGGTGCTGTGAGAGAGGGGACTGGGCGGGGAGGCCTCTCAGCCCCGAGGAGCAGAGTGGCCCAGGAGGAGGGCGCAGCAAGCGAAGAGGCCTAGACGTGAGGAGCTGGGCGTTCAGGGGAAGGGTCGGGGGGCCGGACCGTGGCCACAGGGAGCTTGGATGGGGACAAGGCCAAGCAGAGGTCCTCGTGGACCAGGAAATGAATGTGGTTCCCTCCAAGTGTCTGGAGAGCCATCGGGTCGTTTCACCCAGGGGAGTGACACGATAGGGCGTGATTATTATTATTTATCTCTCTGGTTACTGCATGGAAAGAAAAACCGGAGGGGGCAGGGAGACAGGCAGCCGGGCCCGTCGGGGGCTCCTGCGACCGCCAGGTGAGAACAATGTGGCTTGAGCTGGGTGGCGACAGAGATGGAGACAGTGACAGATTTGGGACAGGTTTTGAAGACAGAGCCAGCGCGGGTGGGTTGGATGTGATGAGGAGAAGAGAAGAATCCGGGAAGACGAGCGTTTCGGCCTCAGCAGCTCCTGGGGCTGCGTCGGTAAGGTGGGACAGACCAACGGAGGACGCCTTGGTGACATGTCAGGCGGGNCTGGGAGCAGAAGGAACAGCTGGCTCTGGACTGCTTGGGAGACGGCCGGCCATGACCCTGGAAGTGCGCAGCAAGCAGGCGTCCCGGACAGGACACTGAGGCCGCAGGGTGCTGATGTGCCCGGGCTGACGCTGGGCCCCAGGGCACACCTGCCTCCGAGGCTGGGCTGGGGAGAGGCTGGCTGAGGGTCCCCGACACTCCTGGCCCCAGGTCCAGAGGCAGAAAAGGAGCAGAGCAAGTGGGGACGCAACTGTGGGAGGGCAAAGCTTGCAGGTGTGTCCGGGCAGCGCTTGTCACACCTGTGGGACAAACGTCCGTCAGATTAAGGGAAGGGGGCTCCTAGGTCTGAGAGGGAATGGTGGTATCTGGACAGGAAGGTGCTCCTTTGCCCACGCCCCATGGTCTGCGGGGTGAAGAGCGGGGGATTGACAGCTGGAGGGGGCACAGCCAGCTGGGGCCTCGACCAGGGTTCTTGGGGTTGGGGCGCACCAGCCTGAGAGCAGGACCAGGGCATTCTGGGTACGTGGAGTGTGCAGACCAGTTATTGTGTGCGAGCGCGCGGGGTGGGCGTGGGGTCTCCAGGGCAGCCCCTCTCCGCTCCCCTCACCTCAGCGTCCAGGGACGAGTCTGCCTTCTTTCCCCGCTGGGTCCTCTTGGCAGCTGCAGTCTCTCTCGCCACCTCCTGGTAGGGGCATTGGGGTGGGGACCAGGGACTACATCAGACTGTGGAGCAGCTCGGGACCCCCGGGCCCGTCCCCTTCCTGAGAGGGAGACCCAGGCCCGTTCCTCTTCTCTGTGCACACGCCCACTCCCACTGTCCACTCCTGGAATGTCTCCTTTGTTCTCAGGGTCCCTCTGATGCCTCTCATTCACCACCAAAGCACCCCTGGTCACAGGCCTCAGGGAGGGACCGGGTACCTGAGGGTCCTGATCCCCGGACTCCTGGGTCCTGCTGATCCACAGGTTGAGTCTTGACGTCACAACCCCTGAGAGTCTCAAGTTCTCCTGAAGAGAGAGGCTCCCATCAGGCCGTGGGGCCGCTGGGAAGAGCAAGGCGTTCCTGGCGCAGGACAGGCCCTCGCTCGCTGACCACCCGGCACAGCCCACGTGCACCCAGAGGCCCCTGACCCCTCCCCCAGGAGCTGCGGAGACTTGGGCTCAGGATACGAGCGGCAACTCAGGTCAAGGCGGGTTCTGCCAAAACCGACGCAGGAAAACATGCCGCTTCCCGGCACGGCCAGGACAAAGCTCTGGGTTTGGAGACCTCAGGGGGCCTCAGCCTGAGCCCTCACCTTCCGGCTGGAGGCTGGTTCTGCTCGGCTCTGGCCCGCCAGCTCCTTCTCGAAAAGGTGGCGCTTGCTGGCTACCCCCACGGGAGCCACAAGGAACTCAGTGCGAGAGGGGCCTGGAGACTTGATGGACTCAGACCTCTGGGAACGGGAGACAGAAATGGTGACCCACCAGGGCGGGCAGGTGTGCAGACCATCCCCGTGCCCCCACCCCACACACACCTGGCGGGTACCACCGCCCCCTGCGAGAGCCCTGCCCACCTGGATGGCGGTGTGGTATCTCTCCAGCTTCTCGCCTAACTTGACCGAGCTGGCTGGGAGCCTCACGCTGGCGCTGCAGGACAGGACAGGACAGGACAGGACAGGTGAGCCCCCAGGACGGGAGACCAGGCCTGCCCCGCCTCCATCACCGAGCGGCACGGCACCACCTTGGCCAACGTGAAAACCTAGACTCCAGGGACTGTCCTCGCTAGAAACAGCTCCCTAGAAACAGCCCCCTCGGTAGGACCAGAAACACCTGCCACCCCCCCGGCTCACCTCACATGTTCCCTGCACCCCCTCCCCATCTGCCCTCCCACTGCCGTCACCTCTGCCCACTGCCACCAGACCACTCCTGCCCACGCGAATCCCATCCTGTCCTTCGAGCTTGAACCCCTCAGGACCCAGGACGGCCCAGGACAGGCGCCAAACTCCAGGGCCCGGCAGACAAGGCTCCTATGAGCTGGTCCCCGCCTCCCGACCAGACACAGCATCCCCCCAACTGCTTATGTGCCCCCAACCGGAGACCTCCGGCTCCTCACACTTTGCCTTTCCATGGGCTGCTCCCTCTACTTTCCCATCAGGAAAATCCCCCTCCAGTTCTTTGAGTCCCATTCAGATGTCACTTGCTGTCACCCGTTCTCCAGCCTGTAGGGTGAGCTCCCAGCAGTGTATTCCCACTGCTGCACCTGCCCCCCGGCAGCCCCGGCAGGTCGAATGGGCCGATGTGAGCCTGATGTGAGTGGCTTGAGGGCAGCCCTGCATTTTACTCATGTTCACACCCCACCAGCCCTCAGCAAAGGCTTAGGGGCAGACGGATGTGCCCGAGGGCTTCAAGTTCCTGCCGCTTTTCAGATCCGACAGCTGGGTTTTTTCAAGACACAGCCCTCACGCTACTCCCATCAACACTCGGGGTCTGGGGTGCTCATTAAACATGCAGGTTCTCAGGGCCCCTCCTCACCCCCTCACCTCAAGGCAAAACCCCCGCTTCCTTCGCAGCCCCGCCCAAGCCCTCCCAGAAGCCCCCCTGTGGCATCTCATGGGGCCTCCGCCCCCCAGGAGGATGCAGACTTCCTGCCAGGTGTGGAACCCTGGACAAGGACTGTGCCTTCGCTCTGGGCCCTACAACACTCAGCAAACAGGCTGAACGTGGCCAGATGGGACAGCCAGACACTCCAGCCCCTGACCTGCGGGTTAGGGG